GGCAATCCTCTAGAGGATGAGGTTACGCAAAAACATATGATTGCATCGGCAAGCCTGGTGCATCGCCACCTAGGTCGTACAATTTTTATTCGAATAAATGACCGAATAGTGATAATTCATTATGCCTTTTGCGCACTTATGAAAATTCAAAAGCGCATGTTGCAACGGCCGATGATGCATGTGTGTTTGTCTGTTCGGGTATTTCAATTCAGCAATCGGGTAAGCTTAGATGCTAAAATTTTGCCATTGAATTCTCTGTCCGAGCACAATCGCAGGAACATGATGTCAATTTTCTCACGTACCTGAGTCTCACTTACAAAGGCGCTAAAGTATGGCAGAATTGCTGAACCAAAAGCTAGGCAAGCTTGAAAGTTGACATTACGGGACGATTTTCTCTGTCCAACTAAAAGATTTCAAACTCAGTTCTCAAATGCCCCTCGCTCCAACATTTGGCGGGAAAGTTGGTAAAAGGCAAGCTAGAAAACTGAAGTTTTTGGGTGGATCTTCGCTGCCCACATTTCAGGCTCAGTTTCTAAGTGCGTCTGGTTCTTGCGTGCGGACAAGTGAAATTTTTGGCGGAAAAATTGCTAACTCAGAGAGAAACCTATGCAGCTAGGTCATGCCCAATAAATGGCCAGTCACCGGGAATTAATTATTTTCCTTCGCGCAAGATTTACGGACATGAATGTGCAAATTAAATGTAAAGCAGCAACCATTCATATTTTTAACGATCTGTCTGCTTCAAGTTTAGCGCAAAAACGCATGATCCAACCGGCAAGCCGAGTGCGTCGCTATTTGGGTTTTTGCAATGATTCGTTGCGAGAGGACGAAGCCGTTGCAGTTCTGAAACAAGCATTGTCAGTAAGGCGCCTTCTGGTTTAGAGTTTTAAAACACATTGTCTCTGAAGAGCATATTCCATATGAAAAGAATGCCATTACTAAGTTTTATGTGGGAAATGTTTGTCGTAAGTGAAATTTTTTCGATACAGGTATTGACAACAACGAATGGCGATGAGAAATGTCGATTGGTGCAACCGTGGCTCCATGGTAGCCATCACTATTCATGGTTCTTCTCCATCGATCGTTGGCCGTATTCAGCAAGTAGACAGGCTGCAAACCAAACAGTTGCAGCACTGATCATACTACCGCCAAACGATTGTCACAGTATATGTTGAGAATGCAAAATTTTGCTTGCTGCACAATCAAACACTTTGATCGCATTTCACCGCCTTTTTGGCATGCTTTTCATCGTTTTTTTTTTTTTTTTTACTGGACAAGAAGATAAATGCACATTCCTCGCAGCTTTATTGATTATGATTTCACTTCATGCCCCCAGCAATAGTAACCTGGTCGAATTTGGATCTTTCTTACAAAACCAGTGAGCTAGATCTTGATTATTAAACGCTTAAACAGTCTTGAAAACTTGAAAAAATTTTTTCATGAAATAAGGGCTCATAAGATTTTTTATGCGTTTCTGCACATTTGTGCAAATGCAAAAATTCATATAAACCCAGGCCGGAACGCACCAGGCGAGCCGGTGCGATTATGCGTTTCTGCACCAAACTTGAAGTATTTAGGTTAACTGCATGAGTGGTTGTTTCTTTACACCTACCTTGTGCTCTCAATACCATAAATCGTCGTAAATTTTGCATAAAAGAAAATAAACAATTTCCGTTTAGCGGTCGTTTTTTGAAAA